AGCCCTAAAGTGTGTGATTTATGTGTTTTTGCAAAGTAATTATTTTTATGTGAAAAAAATAAGTGCTTTGGACCCAACTAAAGGTAAGGATGCTTTTTGTAGGTATTTACTTTTGCAATTTTTGCCATGCATTCAATTAAAATTTCCTATAGTTATCTTTAAGATAATCGTTTTAAAATAAGAATAATGTTGAGGTTATGTTTTTCTGCAAAAAAAATTATATATATTTTATGTTCTTCTTTTTAATTATTTGAAGTGGAATTATTTAGAAAATTAGTTGATAGACTTTTCCAAAGAAGTACGTTTATAAATCGTTGGGCTTTATTATTCGGCTAAGATAATATTCATGTTTTAGTGACATGCCATGCCAGGGTTGCCAACCTCAAAATAAAAATTATGGTACACATTTAGAAAAATTATGGTACATTATGGTACGCACCAAACAAATATTATGGCACAAATTATGGTATATTTAAGGACTTCAAATCAAACAACTAGGCACTTTAAGAAAAGTCATATTTATTTTAACACAAACTTTGATAAAATAAAATAAATTAGGTGCAAGCAAAAAAATAAACTTTGGCAAAAAATTAATAAATTATTTTAAATTTAATAATTTAATTAAAAATAATATCGCATTCATCACAGTCTTGATTATTGAATAAATTATCTTTAGTAATGTATTTGCACATTTTTTTTTGAGGGCTTAAAATTTATACAATTTTTTTGTTAATTTTTATACCGCTCAAAAAAATATTTTTTTAAAAACCACAGAGGTGAAAAACAAAAGTTTGAATAGAAAAGAACATAACAGTTATAACTGCTGTTTATAAAAATTTAATACTGTACTGGCAGGACTGATCGCAACGTTGCCTTATTTATTTTCGGTGCAAAAGCATGCTTAAAAATCATAATACTTAAAATCTGTAAAAAAAAAGAAATTTTGGTACAATTATGGTGTTATGGTAGGCTATAAAAATGGAAGGTACAGACCTTTAAAATTATGGTACAAATACCATAATTATGGTACGGTTGGCAACACTGTGCCGCGCGGTCTCTCAGAGAAGGAGCTTGAGTTGCTGCTAATAGAAATAACATGAACGCAGAAAACTCTAAAATAGGTGGTGATTTGGATGCTGAGGATGACAAAATTCTTGGTACATTTGATTTACTTGATAATTATGTTTTACAGTGTTATTTTTAGATTCTTCTTGTTCAACTCCTTCAACAAGGTCCTCAAGTCAAGTTGGAAATAGTAAACCAACATTGCCAACATGGCCATCCAGTAGCAAAGCATCCCCAAACAATATACCTTCTTGCTCAACCCCGGTTCAAAGTATTCGAACTAGACCAAGAAAAAAACTAAGCCCTTTTCGTGAAGTATCTAATAAGTGGCAAGAAGATTCTGACGATTCTGTATAGGGTTGCCACCCGTCCTCCTTTGTGGAGGACAGTCCTCTTTTGATAAGATCATGTCCTTCGTCCTCCTTTAAATGAAATATGTCCTCCTTTCTATGTATTTTATTGTTCTCTGTCAAAAATGTTTTTCTCGATAAACCAATAAAATAACGTTTGCAAACAATAAAAAATGATGTTGGCCGTTATTTGCGCAGCGCGAACTCCTCCTAACTTAAGAGGAGTTCGCGCTGCGCAAATAACGCATTTTAAAAACCACTACTTAAGATTCTTAAGTACCTACTTACTAACGTCATTTGCAATATTGCATACGGTTGCTTGTTGCGTTGCCATATTATTGATTTATTTTACTGTAATCTGTGTTGTTTTCTTGAGCCTGCCTTGCTTATTTCATATAATCATGAATCACAGCATTGAATCCGCAGATTCGGTGTTTCATAGATTTATAACTTGTAATGGTTAAATTATAAAAGGTTATTTTTAATTTAAAGTAATGTACACTGAGAAAAAAATGGGACAAATAAACTGTGTAGCTAATACTTTTATTAATAGTGAATATATTGTTTATTACCTCTAAATAGTCGAAATAATAACGATAAATATACTTTAGTAAAACTTTATGTGTCGGGAATAAAAATATATTTAGGATAAATAAACTGTACCCTTGTCCCATATTTAAATATTTTTTTTATTTGGGAGCAATAAACTTTTTTCTCAGTGTATATCTAATGTAGGTATAGGTAATCTTTAGAGAATCGGTGCCAAAAAAATAGATTTAAGATTTAACTGACATATTATAATATATTTACTATGTTATTTTTATCTGACTGCAATGCTGTTTTGTTTTTGTTAAAAAAATGTATTTATTTAGGTAGGTATAATAGTTATTAGTTTAATGTTCTAGTTAATAAAGTTAATATTGGAAGGAATTGGTTCTTGGTCATTTTTGTTGAACTTGTTTTGATTTTGATAATGCCCCCTTTTTTTGGAAAAATTTTCGGGGCGGGCTTTTTTTATGTCCTCCAACCCCAAGCTTAAAAGGTGGCAACCCTAATTCTGTAAAGGATCCTGATTTTAATGCCAATGCTTGTAAAACAAGAAAAGCGGATGAATTATCCAGTAGTGATAATTATCATTATCATTCATTATAATGAATATGTAGACACTTCACCAAAAAATAGGGATACTTCACGTTATTGCCGTCATTTGAAAGAACAAGAAGACGAAGGAATCGGAGATGACCAAAACTTTAAAGAAAGAGAAGACGAATCTGAAGAGAGAGAAGAAGAACCTGAACTAAAAAATAAGAACAACCAACCTTTTACATGGACAAAAACATCCTGTAAGGCTGCAAAGGATCCAAAAATAAATTTTAATCAGCACTTTGGAACAAATTAACCATTGCCTACTAGTAGTCCATTAGGTATAGTTTGTACGATTTTAACTGTTTCAATATTGAATCACATAGTTCTTGAATCAAATCTCTATGCGAATCAGAAAAAATACGAAAAAGGGGACATCGAGTTTGTACAAATCAAGGATATTAGCATCACAAGATGGAAGGATCATGGAAAACAACCAGAGACAGTAGTCAGTAATATGCTTGATCCGTCTGACACAACACTTGTGGACCGAACGAATAATAAAGGCGATCGTGTCGTCTGCCCCCAAACAATAGCGGATTACAATGCACATATGGGCGGTGTAGACCAATTCGATCAGATAATGTCTTATTATTGCATATCACAAAAGTCTAAACGATGGTGGATTAAACTATTTTATTACTTCATCGAATGTGCTCTTGTTAATTCTTACATCATATATAAGACCGAACTGAAGAACAAGACTAAAAATCCGATGGCTCATTTGACATTTCGATCGATATTGGCAAATGAACTTATAGGTACCTGATGGTTACCAAACGGTACAAAACTCTGTTCGACTTCACATCCCGGAAGTTATTCGAACCTATCGCAGATGTGCATATTGTCTCACGAAAGTAAAAGAAAAAAGAAGCAACATGATTTGCAAAAGATGTCCAATCAAAATTGCCGATACTCTAATAGGGCACTGGGTGATTATTTTCCCACTCAAAATTTTAAGTTTCGAAATAAAAAAAAATACTAAAAAATTATATTTATTGTCCCAAAGACCCCTCGAAAAAGCATACTTAAATTGGTGCCAAAAGAAAAGCTCCCAGTCTTTTGCCACTTAAAAGGTTAACAGATGCAGTTTTCTTAATCCAGATTAAAAGTTTGGCACATCTTATACCACCTAAAGGGCGTGTGGTGCATAAATGTAAACATTGTAAATTTTCGACACTAGAAGTTATAAACTCAATAATTGTGGAAGCTAAAACACCAGCCGACATAGAAAAAATTATTAAGGAAAAGAAAGACCAAGCTTTTGTCAAGGATATTACCGTTCAGCCATATATACAAATATACGAGGGATCTAGGGAAAGCCCAAATAATTTTTATATAGTAGTAGACAGTTTATATCTACAATCTGAAACAGCAAAAATATCTTTTTAAATTTTATTTAAGCTTTTCCATGTTTTCCATGTATTCCAAGGAGTCTAGTTATATATCTAGTCTAGTCTATATATATATATATATATATATATATATATATATATATATATATGTATATATATATATATTAATTCAAAGATATGTGTATGAAATTAACAGGGAAGATGATATAATTACATCGATTATAGCCGATTTAAATTAAAATGAATTGTTACCAATGCGGAAAAAAATTTACTGTGTTTAATAAATATGCACTTTACTTAAATGTGCATAACAATTCAAGTAGATTTTTATGTCCAGTTAAAAAATGCCCTAGAATGTATCATGTTAAAAAGGATTTAAAAAAACATTTGACTATTGCACACATTTTTTCTGATTCTTTTAGTCATAACGAAAATAATACAAATAGTAAACCATTTGACAAAGAAAATGAACAAAATAATTTAAATAATAATACATTTGACAAAGAAAATTAACAACTTTTAGAAAATAACCCTCAACCTTCTACAAGTTCATTTAAAGACCTGAAAGCTAAGATGCCATCAAATATTTAATGGACGAATAATCAGTGTGGAACTCACTTATGGAATAAAATTCGTTATTCGTTGAGAAAAGATTTTAATGAAAAACGCTTGGACACGTAAACTTTAGTTTTTTATTCCAAATCTTATAATGATAATTTTAAATTTTATGCCCCCACCATTTCCCCCCCGCAAATTAGGCACCCTTATCTTAAATAACAACCCCACTTTTTTTCATCGAAAATTGATAGTGCACATTTTTTTGAGTACGACGATACCACGTAAGTAGGGTTTAGTTTACAAGTATGAATTTTTTATTGTTATTCTATGATTTAGTTTCTTGTGTTGTGGCTTTCGCTATTTAGATATTCATGTTTTTTCGCTTTGTTATTGTTTTTTGTTAATGCCATTTTTTGCGTTTGTCCTTTTTGCATTGTTTACATTTTTTGCATTGTTTAAATCTTTACTATTAATGAAACATTTTGCGCTTTTGTTAGATCCAAGTATCAGTTAATATTTTAGTTAAAAAATGCGACACTTGACAGAAACTCTGCGAATAGAAATATTAATGATGATTGGTTACGGTGATATGTGCAGATCACAACAGCAAGTTGCAAACGTTTTTAATGGAAAATACCCAGATTTACCACCACTTTCTCAGGCAAATGTGTCTAAAATACATGCACAATTTCGTGAATATGGACACGTTAAACCATTACGCAGGACGCCTCATTTTATTGATGAAAATGTGAAAGTTAATATTTTATTAGCTTTTCAAGAAGATCCAACAACTTCTACGCGTCAGGTTGCACGTGAAAACGACGTTAGCCGAAAAAATGCATCCATATAAACTACAACACGTACAAGAATTGATTGATGGTGATTCTGATAGAAGATTACAATTTTGCGAGCAAATGCTGCATATGTTAAACAGGAATGTTATTTCTTCTGCAGATATTCTTTTTTCTGATGAATCAAAATTTCTATTAAATGGCGAGGTAAATAGACAAAATTGCAGGTACTGGGCAGAAGAAAATCCCCACTGGATGCGACAAAGTCATACCCAACGTCCTCAGAAAATCAACGTTTGGGCTGGTATTGTTGGTGATCATGTGGTGGGACCTATTTTCATTGAAAATCTTAACGGGGCAAGATATCTTTATATGCTAAGAGAACAAGTTGTCCCAACTTTAGCAGAGTTGTTTCCAAATCCATTGGAACCTAATCTTCCCAATGAAAGGATATGGCTTCAACAAGACGGTGCCCCACCCCACTATGCTCTTCCTGTGCGGAATTATTTAAATGACACCTTTCCACCCAGGTGGATCGGAAGAAGAGGTTTTATAGAATGGCCAGCAAGATCACCGGATCTAACACCTCTAGACTTTTTTCTATGGGGATATCTAAAAACAGGGTGTTTAAAACACAACCTGCTAATTTAGATGAATTAAGAAACAGAATTACTGGAGAAATTAGGAACATAACACCGGAGGTTTTAAACAGAGTGCGGGAACAATTTCACAGTAGATTACTAAAGTGTAACATTTATAAGATTGAAGAACAGTTTATTTTTGAATTTTTAATTAATTTTAAAATAAAAAGTTTGGTTTTTTAATTTGTCATTATATTTCCACCCTGTATTGAAAACTGTTTACTAAACCCTACTTATATGGTATCGTTATACTCAAAAAAATGTGCACTATCAATTTTCGATGAAAAAAAGTGGGGTTGTTATTTAAGATAAGGGTGCCTAATGTGCGGGAGGGAAAATGGTGGGAGCATAAAATTTAAAATTATCATTATAAGATTTGGAATAAAAAACTAAAGTTTACGTGTCCGAGCGTTTTTCATAAAAATCTTTTCTCAACGAATAACGAATTTTATTCCATAAGTGAGTTCCACACTGTATAAATACTTTTGAAATAGCTCTTAAAAATGTGTGGCTAAACTATATACAATGGAATAGCTAATAATTTATGTAAATTGGTAAAACAGTATTCTATAAAAAATTCAAACAATTATGATGAAATTATATTTTTTTATAATTTAATTCAAAATTCATTTAATAATTTTTCCACAGAATATAAACGTTTACCTTTTTTTTGAAAAATCCATTTTTTTTTAAACCTACTGAACATTTTCTAGGAACATCGCCGACGGTGGACGAGTGGTTAGTGCTGCTGACTACAAGCCGGAGGTCGTGGGTTCGAATCCCACCAAGGGTATGGCTGTTTATTTGTGTTTGTCCTATTGTGTAATAGTCCTTCGGAGGGGACTTTAAGCCCGCGGTCCGTTCCTACCCCTAACCCGCACAAGCCATACAGTTGGCTTATGGGACTTCTTAAGAAGTAAGGGTGGAACTAAAAAGAGCACTTTTGTATACAAACTTTTTGTATATCTCTGAAAGAAAAACTGTTGATAGTAAAGTTTTATTAACATTAAAAAACAAAACATTTTCTTACATTTCCATAAGTAAAACGCTTAAATTATTTTTAGAAACCTATAATGTTTTTTCAACAATTGTCAATTATCAAACATCACTTTTAAATTTAAATAATAGTATTAGCATGGCAAATATACTTCATGGTAAGAATTAATTTCAAGTAATAAAATATTGATTCCATTAATACTATATTTTGATGATTTCGAATCAGGTAATCCTTTGGGAAGTAGGCAGGATTTTACAAATTAGGAGTCATTTATTTTACCATAGCATCAATACCTTCCCAGTTTATTAGTAGATTGGAAAATATGTTTTTATGTCAAATATTTTATAGCGATGATCGAAAGAAATTCTCAAATAAAATTACATTTTCAAAATAAATAGATGATTTAAAAAATCTTGAACAAAATGGTTTAATAATAAATACTGAAAATGGAGCAACACATGTATATTTTAGTGTTATTGCAATTACCGGTGATAATTTGGGCATCCACACAATTTTGGGCTTCACTGAAAGTTTTTCTGCAGATTCATTTAAGTCACGCGAACCTAGCCAACGGAAAAGATGGCGGCTATGCAGTTCGACCCGTTTTTGAAACGGACGACTACGTTTTGTATTCCGAAAGGATACAAAACTACTTTAAAGCAAACAACGTGAAAGAAGAAATCAAAGTACCAACATAATTATCATTAATTGGAGCGACAACATACAAATTAGTAAGAAATCTATGTTTTGCTAGCAACCCTAGCACAAAAACCTATGAAGAGCTGAATAATTTACTTATAAATCATTTCTCAAATAAATCCGTAACGTGGAGAGAAAGGATAAAGTTTATGGAAACTCAGCAGAACTCGGGAGAGCCAATCGCTGATTACCACGCACGTTTATTCTCAATGGCGAGCGAATGTAACTTCTCAGAAGGCCTAGAATTATTAGTGAAACTCAAATTTGTGACAGGATTGCGAGATTTCAAGAAAGTGAAAGAAAACCTTGAAAAGAATGTTGACGTGGCCAAAAAGCGAGAATGTATAGCTGGGGAGCAAGAAGTCCATGCAAATGGCAGACGAAAATTCCCGCGATTATCAAGGATGTCATAAATCTGGTAACAAAGGACAGATTGGGAACAATGGCAACCATGCCAGCAGCGGAAATAAATTTTATGTTGGCAACAGAGGGGACCAAAATAGTAACAAATTCCAAACGTCAAATAAAGGTAATAAAAGTTATAAAAATACAAAAAATCTCTGGAAATTTTGCAAACTGTGCTAAAGGAAACACAAGGGTGAGTGCTGAAAAATCAAACGTCAATTTAATTTTGTAAACAATGCTGATCAATCGGAAAGTGAAGTAAAAGATCTTTGGTGTGTCAAGGACAGTAGTATTAATAAATTTTGTAGTGAACCTGTCAAAAATGAATGTTTAGATGTTTTAACAAAAACTCTGTTAGTAAAAAAGTAAATAACGATAACAATTTATTTAATATCGTCAAAAATGATGAAAAATTCAATTTAAAAGTTTTTATTGACAATGTTGTTAGTGATAATAGCCGACACTGGTGCAGCTATAACAGCTTTAAATTTAAATGTTTGTAACAGATATTTTAAAAATAAGTATATGTTGCAAAAATACAAATTGGTTTTAAAATCTTTTGATAACTCACAGTTTAAACCGGAAGGTTATTTCTTTGCATATGTCAATTATGAAAATAAAATTAAGAAAATAAAATTTTATGTCATAGCATCTGCAACTTCATGCATTCTGGGGAGATACGCACTGCAGGAATTTGGTATAAGGTTGGAAATTGTGAATTCCCCGGTTGTCCCGATTTTAAAGGAGGATTCTACCCTAAGGAACAACTTTTTGCAAAAATATCCGGCGGACACAAATTCACGGTTTTAGACATGTCAAAGGCCTATTTGCAATTTGAAGTAGACGATAAAAGTAAAAAACTTCAAAACATATCTACAATATGGGGTCTTTATACTGTAAATCGTTTAGCATTTGGAGTAAAAACAAGTTCTTTTATTTTTCAAAAACTTAATGGATATTGAATATGCTGTAAATTTTTTGGATGATGTAATCATCACTGGCTCTATCGACATTGTTCATTTGCAGACTTTATCCAAAGTTTTAGAAAAATTTTCAAATGCAGGTTTAACAGTAAAAAGGAATAAATGTCAATTTTTCAAGGAGGAGGTAAAATATCTAGGATTTAGAGTAAATAAAAATGGTGTAAAAAAATCACCAATGAAAACAGAAGCCATTACAAATGCGCCGCTACCGGAAAATATTACTAAGGTAAGAGCTGTACTTGGACTTCTAAATTACTATCACAACTGTATACCTAATGCGGTGACTATAATGAAACCTAGTTATAACTTATTACAAAAGGAAAATAAAAAGTTTCAGTGGGGAACAGAACAACAAAAAGCTTTTGATGCAGTAAAAAAATAATAGCTTCTGATATAACTCTTACTCATTATAACCCAAAATTATCCCTTTATTTAACAAGCGACAGTTCAGATTACGGTTTGTCGGCGATTTTGTCGCACAAAATAGATGGCATAGATAGACCGCGATCGCAATGGCGAATTAAACTATCCGATAGTTCAAGGAAGCTGCAGCTATCTATTTTGGGCTTCACAATTTTATCAGTACTTAGCAGGCCAAAAAATAATTATCAGAACAGATGCAAATACACTTGTGGGATTATTTAAAGAAAATGAAAGATTACCTGCTATTTATAATAGTCGCATGCAAAGATACGCGGCATTTTTAGCAAATTTTGATTATTCCATAGAGCACCTAAAAGGTTCTAAAAATTGTTTATGTGATATGCTTTCTAGAATGCCTCAAAAAAGTAAAATACCAGAAGATAAAGGCGGGTATATACATTTCACCAAAGTTCAAGAACATTGGCCAATTGACAACAATACAGTAAGAGAAGAAACAAAGAAGGACAAAGAATTACAAGTAATTATACCGTATATTATCAAAAATAAATGGCCAGATAAAGTTGAGGAAAATATTAAACCATATAAAAACAGAAGAGATGAGCTAGAATATGAAAATGGCATATTAACCTGGGGCCATATAGTCATTATACCTCAAAAACTAAGAGATAGTTTATTATCAGAAATCCATTCAAATCATTTTGGAATCGTAAAATCTAAGAATTTAGGACGTTCATATGTATATTGGCCTAAAATTGATCAGGACATTGAAAATATATGCAAAAGTTGCATTTATTGTCTTAAAAATCAGTCTGCACCTGCTAAAAATATACTTACCCCGTGGAAAATCGAGAATAAACCATGGATTCGTATACACATGGATCATTGTGAAATAAATAACTCCCGATTCTTAGTGGTGCAAGATTCTATTTCAAAATGGCTGGAAGTATTACCTGTTAAAACAATGAGTGCCAAAGAAACTGAAGTAAAACTCAAGCAAGTCTTCTCATACACAGGTCTCCCCAAAATAATTGTTTCTGACAATTACTCTAGTTACCTATCCGAATAGCTGCAGGCATTTTTCGAAAAAAAACTCCAGCCGGAAACGGACAGGCTAAAAATGCGGTAAAATCATTCAAAAGAAATTTCACAGCTAGGTTAAATGACCCTCAGAATAAAGGAAAAACTGCAAAAATTTTAACATATGAATATCTATTTGCGTTTAGAACCTCAAAACATTGCTCAACGAACACCTGCCTCACTCATGATGAATAGGGAATTACGAATCAGATTAGACAGATGAAAAGAAAAAGACGATTTTTATAAAGAAAGATCTACAGAAAACTTGAAAAATGCACAAAATAGACAAATAAAATATCATAAAGGAAAGTTAAGAGAATTTAAGGAGGGAGATGTAGTCATGTTAATGGATTATAGGAATGTGAACAAAATAACATACCAAAAAGCAATAGTAATTAGAATAATCGGAAAATCTATCTATTTGTACAAACTAGAAAATGGTATGGAGTGAAAACGACATATTTCTTAAATAATATCAGCTTCAGAACGCATAATAACTGAAGAAATACAACAGAAACCAAAACAGAGCGTTGATAAATATCACCCAACCGCTAGTAGACTGCCAGAAAACACAGAAAGAAGAATAAGTATGGATAGTGACAGAAACAAACAAAATGAACAAGTTAACATTCCAGTGTCAGTAGAAACGCAGGAAATACCAATAAGCCATCAACAGCAAAATGATTCTGAAGAACCGGACCTCATAAATGTGTCAAGAACAATAGAGACCGAAACCTCGAAACCTGAAGGTGTCTCCGAAAACCAAGACCTTGATGTTCCAAATTTCAGCAGTCAAAATTCTGACCCCAGAGGATCAAGTTTAGATTCGAAAGTAGGAAGATCCAAAAGTGGACGTCTAGTTAAAAAGGCCTACTAAATTAAAAGATTTTATAACCGATTTGGATTTTAATAGTAGTGAGATGTATCAGTTTGTTATCCAATTAAAGGTATAAAGAACACGTTTTAGTACGAGATTTAAATAAAATCAAATTATTTAGTAATTTATATGGACAAAAACTTTTCAGTTCGAAAGGTCAAATTGTTAATTAAATTAATTAATTAAAGAAGATATATTTTAAGTCTGATTGTATGATACAAATTATACAAAATGTAACACCATAAATTTAATTATTTTTTATTTTAGGTAAAATAACTTAAACTGCATTGAAAAGCGTCAGAAAAGAATAAAGAGTACGGTGATAAAAATACATATTTATAAAAATATTTAGAATAAATATTGATAACTTCTTTAGAATAAAAGATACATTTTATTATTTTATGACTAAATAAGACAAGTATTTAAGGGACAGAAATTGTATTGAATAAATTCATGTAAATACAACTTAAGTTAATTACAATATTAATTAAAAAAAAATTACATAATAACCTGTAAAACAAAAATAATCATTAGTTTAAAAGAATTACGTAATACTTGTCTAATACTTACTTTTTGTGTTACCTATATTAAGTGAAAGCTTGACAGCAAGAGATTACATCCCTTAGTAAAGTTTAAGTACAGGGGTGTGACATCTCGTTGGTAACACTGCCTAGAGTTGTGGGACATGTAACCCCCATTAGACAACTGAGCGTTGTGGTGTTACACGTACAACATAATGTAACAGTGATAAAGATGTTGAATAAATAACGTTATATATATATATATATATATATATATATATATATTAGGGTGGCCCAAAAAAAAGAATATTTTTTTTCTTCTCGTCTCTTGTGAAAATATGTTGGTTTGTCATGTTTTAAGAGCCCTGTCAAAAGATCAGCACCATTACAAAATTTTTAGGGGTCGCTCAAGATTTTTTAAAATTACCAAAATCGTCAAAAATTGGATTTTTTTTATTTCATTTTTTTTTCTCGTTCCGATATTATTTTTTAATTTAAAAATAATAATGATTTGAAAATTTCAAATCGATATTTTAATTTCTAAAGGTTTCTCAAGATTTTTTTAACTTTCAAAGTAGAGTATTTTGAATGTTTTCGAGCGACCTCTGAATATAAATATCAACGAACTTTTAGCGACCTTTAGAAATCAAAATATTGATTTGAAATTTACAGAATTTTTATTATTTTCAACTTAAAAAATAATATCGAGACGAGAAAAAAAATTAAAATAAAACAAAAATTCAATTTTTGACGATTTTGAAATTTTTTTAAAATCTTGAGCGACCCCTACATAATTTTTAATCGAGCTGATATTTTGAAAGGGCTCTTAAAACATGACAAACCAACATATTTTTACAAGAGACGAGAAGAAAAAAAATATTCTTTTTTTTGGGCCACCCTAATATATATATATATTAATTGTTTGTCCATCGAATCATACCAATCCTGCCCATATATTACACTCATTTTGTCAATTTTGTTTAGTTTCCAAAACCTTATCTCAGACTACTGAGGAATCCTCAGTGAGGATATAACTTTGATTCGCAAAGTAGAAAATTATAATAATGATTTGGAAAGTAATGCTGGCGTTAAAAAATTAAGCATTTGGCACGGTTTAAAAAATTTACATGTTTACAATAACTTAATATGTGACATAATGCATGACC